GCTGGGAGAGATGAGGGGGGAGCCGGGAGAGATGGCGGGGGGAAGCCCGGAGAGATGAAGGGGGGGAGAGAGGAGGTGGGGAGCTGGAAGACATGAGGGGTGGAGCCGGGAGAGATTGGGGGGCGAGAGATGAGGGGGAGCTGGGAGAGATGAGGCTCTTGGAATGACAAAAAGTACTTTCTAGCCTAGATCAGAGATATGTATTAATGGGTTTCTGAAGCAGTGAAAGCTGACTAAGCCTCACCGTGTCCTCTTGGGAGTGTTCTTACCTGCACGGTTCAGTCTTCCCACCCGAGCTCTGCCTGCTGGGCTTGGGAAGGCTTGTGCCCAGTCTGGTAGAAGGCAAGCAGCAATCATTACCTTTCTGCCCAGGGAGCCATGTGCCATTTTTATCGTCTCAGTACTGGAGCCAGTAGCTGCACATAGCTATTTACATTTAAATTTAATTAAAAGTGAATACAGTTTGTAAAAATGTGGCATGATAGATATGTTAATTATCTCAATGATGGAAATTCCCTCACAATGTAATGTATCAAATCATATGGTACACTTTAAATATATTATAATTTCTTAATAAAACATGTTTTTATTGATTTCAGAGATGAAGGGGGGGAGAGAGAGAGAGAGAGAAAAGAGACATCAATAATGAGAGAGAATCATTGATTGGCTGCCTCCTGCACACCCCGCACTGGGGATGGAGGCTGCGACTGGGCATGTGCCCTGACCGGTAATTGAACTGGGACCTCCTGGTTCATAGGTCAGTGCTCAACCATTGAGCAATGCCAGCTGGGCAATATATTACAATTTTATTTGTCCATTATACCACCATAAAGCTGAAAAAAGCAAAAAAAATACTTTTTTTTGTAGGCAACACACACACTCAGTAAATATAATTTAAAATTCCATTACTCATGCACATTGACCCCATGTTAGGTGCTCAGTGGCTACAGGTGCCAGTGGCTCCTTTGTTGGGCAGCACAGTACTGTTAGAAGCTTTCCCTTCATGAATAGTTGTTTCTGAGAATTTGATTTTTAAAAAGTGAATATTTTTACTTTTAATTAATTGTGAGGGAAAATTTAAGCTGATTATATTTTTTATGCTCTCCGATAAAAAAATATATTTACCTGTTACTTGCTGATATAGCTGATTATGTGAAAATGGACATTTATTTTCCTTTTGGCTGAAATTATAGGTAATTTTATTTAAAATTAAAATTTCCTTTATGTTAAACGGGAGGAACCCTAGAAATACCAATTCAGACCACTTCTTTTTATTGGAGGAATTGTGTTGATTCTTTGAAGGGTGTCATAAAATGCATGTAGCTCATATGAACCTTTTATGCACTCTCATGTTTTGCCTTGCAGATATTTTTGTTGATTGTCTTCATGTGCATAACGTTACTGATTGCCAGCCTCATCTGCCTTACTCTTCCAGGTATGAACTTATCGTAGCTCTCTACTAATTTTATTTGTCCACTTGAAAAGGTGCTGTGTTTTAAAAGGGTATATCTTGCTGAGATGTGACCATTCATCAGATATAAAATTATAACAGTTTCCCCTTCATTTCTGATTGAATATGGATATTGATCTATTTAGGGTTCTCCATCTTATCAGACTCCTTTGTATTGGAGCACAGTGGTACAAAGTCAGGATATAATTTGTGATTTATTTTTGGAGGTCAAGTACTTGTAGCCACTCAGTTTTCATGGACTTTGTCTTATTACTGTGGGTTTTCAAAAAGTCAGCTGTGTGACTTAAGTCATTTTTTCAAGCCTTTTGATGTTAATTACGTTTACTCTCATTATGTAGTTATCTTTTCAGTCCACTGCATGCTCTTGATAGAGACCTTTATGAAGCCAGACAGTTAACTTTTTTATCATCTGGTATTCACAAATACTCAACTTTAAATTTCAGTTAAACAAAATTTCTTAATCTTATAAGAAGCTGTGGATGCATATAAATAGTTTGTCATCTTCTCTGGAGGACAAAGGTAAATGGGGTGGGGCCCCAAATCTAGTGACAAAGTGGCAGGAACACTTGCTGCCCCTACCCTCCCAGTTAGTGTTTATAGAGAACCAGAAAATTCCAGATTGTACTGATATTGTGTTAGCCACTTAAATAATCATTAAGTGGAAGATAATTTTGAGCTCTTGTAAAGCATATACATGTATACTGAGTTAGTATCTTGATTATAACACTAACTCAATATAATTTTGTAAATCAAATTTGTTTTAGTAAGTACTTGAGTTTTCCCATGAGTGCTAAGGCCATGAAGGAGCAACTAGGAAATTTTACTTAAACACACACACACACACACACACACACACTTTCTCTCTCTCTCTCTCTCTCTCTCTCTCTCTCTCTGTCTCTGTCTCTGTCTCTGTCTCTCATCTGTAGGAATTGTGATTTACCTTAAACTGGTAAAAATAAAGATTTTTCCTTTTCTTTTTTTTTAAAATTATATTTTATTGACTTTTTACAGAGAGGAAGGGAGAGTAATAGAGAGTTAGAAACATCGATTAGAGAGAAACATCAATCAGCTGCCTCCTGCACACCCCCTACTGGGGATGTGCCCCGCAACCAAGGTACATGCCCTTGACTGGAATTGAACCTGGGACCTTTCAGTCCGCAGGCTGACACTCTATCCACTGAGCCAAACCGGTTAGGGCCATTTTTTTTTTATGTATTTATTTTTTAATTCTCACCCAAGGATATTTTCCACTGATTTTTAGAGAGAGAGATGAGAGAGGGAAAGACAGAAATATCGATGTGAGAGAAACACATCAATTGATTGCCTCTTGCATGAGCCCGACTAGGGCCCGGGCCAGGGAGGAGCCTGCAACCTATGTACCTGCTCTTGACTGGAATTAAACCCACAGGCCAACGCTCTATTCACTGAGCCAGACCATCTAGGGCGAGATTTTTCTTTTTTTACTGTTCCTGCATAATAATTTTCCACCTTTAGAACTTTGCTCTTTAAGCTCACTACTCATCACAGCTGTTAAAATGACAACGTTTAATTATTGGGTGTAATGTAAACATTGCTGAGAAAACTTAGTTTTTGAACTTTGAACAGATTTACATTTATCATTTTTATGCTTCATTTTCATATTTTTTATCAGATATTAAGAAAAAGTTAACAAGAGGGAAACCTAGTTTTAGTACTTGAATTTGGCAATAAAAGTACTTTTAATTTCATTAAAGATTGTTAACAAAATATTTCCCTGTGAATCCAGTTCCGTCATCTAGTGGCAAGAATGCAGTTTTGTTTAATCGTAGAAATGCTTAGTGTCATAGTACACATTTAAGGTGGTGAGGATTCTATTTCCCCTATAGATTACTTTTCTGTAGCTGCAATTTAATTGATGGTAACTACAACCTAAAACCTAACCCTGTCCTCTCAAAAACACTTGCTTAGGAGTTTATGAAGCATGGAATAGAAAGTGGCCTTTAAATTAAAAAAAAAAACAAAACAACAACCCTGTAGTAGAAATATATATAGACATTTTTATAGAATTATCAATGATTATTATATCTTCAAATTAACATGCAAATGTGTTCATATTATGTAACATTTACAGGTATTTGTCTTTAAAAATGAAATTATCTTTCACCCAAGCCATTTGTAAGGCTGCAAAGAAGTGTGTTTATCAGCATTATGTCCTTAAGACTTGACAGTTGAGCTGTTTTAGTTTGATTGGAAACTGCGGTTTCAGTGGTCAAGAGCATGTAGACATGAGTTCAAATTCAGCCTCTACCCTTGTGTGAGCTTGATTGGGCAAGCTTCTATTGCTGAGCCTAGTTCCTTAATCTTCAAAAGTAGTAGCTATGTTGAGGGATTGTAAGAAAGATTAATGATAGTATATGGAAATTGCTCAGGACAACCACTAGCTCCTTTTAGAATTCAAAAATAACATAGTTTTACATTAAGGAGAAATCAATTTATAGAAAAATGCATTGTAAATTTGGGTCTTGCTGTTCTCTCTAGCCTTATTAAGAAGTAACAGTGTAAAGAACGTTACTAAATAAATGATCTTGCTTGAGAGTTAGGTTTATTTTGTGAGTACATTGTAGAATTTATTTATGATAACTGTATCTGAGGCTATTCCTTAGACCAGCGGTCGCCAACCGGTGGTCCGTGACGTCTGAAAGGTTGGCGACCGGTGCCTTAGACAACTTTCAAATCTGTTTCCTAAGTTCCCAGTATATTTAGATCCTAATTTTTCCCAAGAAAATTAAGATGATATTCTTTGGTTATTGTGTTTCAAATGTTATCGTGCCCACTTATTAAAATAAACTTAGTTTTCTGTCTAGACAGTCATTTGAAATAAAATAGTTCTAAATTATTTGTAATGCTTCTAAATATTAAAAGTATTGGCAGCACAAGTAACAGAAAATAAATTCTCTAACTTTTGTCTTATGTGCATAATGATTTCATTTTGTGATAAAAACAGTGAAAACAACAACACCCTTAAGCTTTTTCAGTCCCGAAAGCACAAGTAATTGGCATGGCAAGTCAGAATGCATGTCATAGGAGAGGTCGTCTCCGTGATTTGCTGTGTTTTGGTTGTGTTTAAATCAGATCATTGTGTTCTTCAGATGTGAGGTTTTTTTGTTTTGTTTGTTTGCTTTTAATGAAGGCAGTAATATAACAAAACATATTATCTTTTGACTAATTACTTAAAATGATTGAAAATACCAGTAAAATAACATTAACATTAAGATGGTAGTTCTCTTTTTGTAGCCAATGTCTTATTTATCAGCCTTTCTATTTTCAGTATTTGCCGGCCGCTGGTTAATGTCGTTTTGGACAGGGTCTGCCAAAATCCATGAGCTTTACACAGCTGCCTGTGGTCTCTATGTTTGCTGGCTGACCATAAGGGCAGTGACCGTGCTGGTGGCCTGGATGCCCCAAGGACGAAGAGTGATCTTCCAAAAGGTTAAAGAGTGGTCCCTTATGGTAGGTTTTTCTAATAAAGACTGATCTAATAGGAATAATGGATATTTTTCAGTTATTTTAAAAATTTCTTTTCACCTTTGTTTCTTCATTATCCTGATAGCATCAAGAGAGTTATTTTTTGAATTAAAAGGAATAGTCCTTTTAAGATAGTAGCTTTCTAGTTCATTCTAAGAACCACAGCCAAATGTATTTGAGAGGTAAAAGAAAATCATGTTATTAAATAGTGATCCAGTAAGGCTCTTGAGTAAATAATAGAATTAGAAAATTTAATTTGGAGATTGATTATTTTTTAAGGAAAAAGGTATTCTGTAGAATTTAAAATAAATCTAAGTAGAAATTTTCTTTAATCTTATTTTTTTCTAAAATTTGATTTTTTTGATCTATTTGAATATGTAAAATCTTGACTTCAGGATTGAGTCAGTTTTTCAGATAAATTGATTTCCTTTGATTACACAATATATGGCTAATTCAAGAATGTCTTGGCTAATGTGAAAATGTAGTAAATAATGGAAATTTTCAAATTTATTTCTCAATAAAGAACTTAATTGCCACAAAGATGGGGGAAAATGTCACTGTAAGATAATGGTCCAAGTATGGCAATTTATTGATTGTAATGTTGGCCATGACTGGTATAATATGTTTAGGTAACTGCTTATGCCTTTTCATTTGTATAACCAACTCTTGTTTTGATCTGATTTATATTTTGGTTTCAGTGAAAGTTTAATACCCACTGAATATTAATGTTGAAAGAAAAGAATAAGAGATTCATTATATATTATGAGTGAAAGGATTTAATTGCTATTTAATCCATAAGATAATGAGACACTTAACTATATTTACTAGTAAAATATAGAAACCACCTAATTCTAGTTTTCATTTGATATTCTTTTAAATCATTAATTTGCCATTTAAAGGAACAAGTACTGTGTCTTCAAGCACACAATATTATCACTGTACTCACAGAGGCTGTCTTAAGAAAAGGGAAGTCATCAGACATCAATGCCACTTTTTAAAGACTGATTCCTTTGTCAGGATTTCATAGTGGCTCTTTCATCCTATCTCTTCTTTTCTCTTTGTGTATACTTTTTTTTTCATTTTACCACTTTGTCCAAATTCTAGAGCTGCGCTGTCTAATATAGTAGCCATGTGGCTAATGGCTACCATACTGGACAATACAGATGTAGGACATTTCTATTATAGTAAGTTCTGTTGGACCACACTGTTCCAGATGGAGCCACTTTGATCTGCTTGATTAATTACCTTAATTAGGACTATGCCGAGCCCTTTTTCTATACCAGTCCACCTCAGGAGTCAGGTCAGCTTGTCGGTGGGTTACCATTGGATCAGAGACCTGGGGCAATCATTAGTTTTTCTTGGACAAACAAAAGCCTACTACTAAGAATGAGATTGAGGAGAAACAGCACAGCCACCTAGTTAATATCCTCCTATATAATAAAAGCCTAATACGTTAAGTGTCCGGTCGTCTGTTCAACCAATCAAAGCGTAATATGCTAATGATATGCTAAGGCCGCTCAACTGCTTGCTATGATGTGCACTGACCGCCAGGGGGCAGACAGTCAACCAATCAACCAGTTTCTATGACATGCACTGACCACAGTGTGCAGATGCTCCGACAGGTAGGTTAGCTTGCTGCTGGGGTCTGGCCAATCAGGACTGAGTGAGATGAGCTGGACACGCCCTGGAGCCCTCCCGCGGTTTTTCCCCTGCCCCGATTGTGCACTGGTAGGGTCCTTTGGCCTAGCTTGCACCCTCTTGTAATCTGGGACCCCTCAGGGGATGCCGGAGAGCTGGTTTTGGCCCGATCCCGCAGGCCAGGCTGAAGGAACCCACTGATGCATGAATTTGTGCACCAGGCCTCTAGTATGTGATAAAAATGAAATTTCTATAATTTTGTAGCAACAAAGCATAGTAATATAATGTTTTCATTATAGCTTGAGCTTTTGTAGTTATACAAATCTCATTTAAATATGTAGCATACAGTATGTGTAAGTTTAAGGCAATGTATTCATTCTGTTAGACATAAGGGCAAAGAAGAAAAACTTTCAGATGGAATGAAGAGCTTGGCTAAAAGTCAGAAAGACTTTCATTAATGACATGGTCTTTCGTTTTCCTAATAGATAATGAAGACTTTGATAGTTGCGGTGCTGCTGGCTGGAGTTGTCCCACTCCTTCTAGGACTCCTGTTTGAGCTGGTTATTGTTGCCCCCCTGAGGGTTCCCTTGGATCAGACTCCCCTTTTTTACCCATGGCAGGTAAGTGCGTGTCTTTTGCACATGATATTTCTATACAGATTTGTCATGAAACAAATCCTTAATTTTTAAGTGATTTTAAGCATTTGTTTAGAAAGACTCCTTAACAGATAGTATGTGCCTCCTAGTGTTATGCAAGATGCAGCATTGAAAAAAATAAGGCAGGCCAATATCCAGGAGCTGGCCTGGCATTATGAGCTAGGACTTGGTGTTCTGTTAGGCATCAACAACTTACAGAATGTCAGCATTACGTAAGGTCACTTTGACCATGATGGATCAAAACAAAACAAGACCCCTGCTGTAATCATGTCTGAACACAGGTAAAACATGAATATTGTCCAAACCACAAAAATAACCAATATCCCCAGTCCCAGCAAACATCATTGGCTGCTGCTTCATTACCAATACAGTTTTATCCTCAGCCTGTTCCTCAGTCTGATTTATTAAGATACCCAATTATAGATCCTCTGCTTTCTAATAACATCTGCCACAGAGCAAGGCCCTGCTTCCTTAAATCCTTCCCAAATCAACTCATATAAGCTGAAATCCTGTATCAGGCCCTTCCTAACACGCTGTTATTAAGCATTTCCAGTTCCCCATTCTGTGTTCTCCCTCACCTCAGTGAGTAGTAAATGCAACTTGTTCAGTTACATGTGTGTTCTCGTGATCTTGACAGTACCCAACATCGTTGCCTTGGAGAATTATTTGAAAGTATCCAATTTCAAGAATGATTATATATTGTGACCCAGCAGTTTCCCTCTTCAGAATCTGCTGCAAAGAAACATTTACACATGTGAGTGTAGAAGGAGGCAAGAACAAGGCTTTTTCTGCTATTATATCATTTTTATAATGTCAAAAAAAAAATAGAAGCAACCCAGATGTCCATTAATAGAGTGACTAAATACAATGTAGTAAATTTTTACTTTGGAATTCATTGTAGCAGTTAAAAGAATGAAGTAGAGCCGGCTGGCGTGGCTCAGTGGTTGAGCATCATCCTATGAACCAGGAGGTCACGGGTTTGATTCCCAGTCAGGGCACATGCCTGGGTTTCGGGCTCAATCCCCAGTGTGGGATGTGCCAGAGGCAGCCAATCAATGATTCTCATCACTGATGTCCCATCTCTCTCTCCCTCTCCCTTCCTTTCTGAAATCATTAAAAATATTTTTTTAAAAAAGAACAAAGTAGACCCGTCTGTTTTGATAGAGATATCTCACAGATGTCTTTTGAAAATTTTTAATTTTTTTTTTATTATGTATTGAGTTTAGAAAGGGGGAGGGAGGGAAAAAGGGAGAGAGGGAGAGTGAGAATGAGAGAGAGTGAGAGAGAGAGAGAGAGATATCTATTTATGTATTATCTGGTTGATTTGTATTTGTGCCCTGACTGGGTCAAACCCACAACCTTGATGTGTCAGGATGATGCTCTAACCAACTGAGCTATCTGGCAGGGCTCAGATATGTTTTTGAATAAGGGAAAAACCCAAGTTGTACACAGAGATGTGCAGCATGGTGTCCTTAATATTAAAACCCTGAACTTTGAAAACAGAACAACTTGCTTTTTTTTCATTCTTGACTCTAAGCTCCTTGCCTTTCCTGCATCAAGTGGCTGCTGATTGGTGGGAGACTGAGGAATGCAGCAGAGGAACTAATGTGGTGTATTTTGCTGTGAGAAAACACTGAAAAGCAGTGGGTCTTGAAAGAGCTTGAATCTCAGTGAACTGTGGACCTCCTCAATGAGGCATCTCCCACGGGGGGAGCCTGGGGTGGCAGCGGAGGTTCCAGTAACACTTCAGCAGAGCTGTGAAGGCACCAAGCTACAAGCTGTCTGGGAGCCTTTCGGTGGTTTCTCTAGGCCAAACATGGCTCCACATGTTGACATAATCAGCTCAGTTAAAGCCAATAAAACAGCCTAAGAATGGTTTGATGAAATAAAATCATGGCACTATTTTATTTATTTGCTCCTTGAAATCTCCATTAATGTTATACCTTCCCTAATTCTCTTGGGAAAATAAAGTAGATTTCTGAAAGATACAAGAATGATTTTGATAGGAATGTTATACTTGAGTCATTGAGGAAAAGAATTCCTATATTTTCCAGCATATGTTAGTCTTCTGTAAAACTCTTACTCATCCTGCAGGACTTCTGTTTTGAAATGAAATAATTAAGAAAATTATATAGCCTCTGTGTTGGGTTTACTGCTAATAAGAACAGCAAAGATATGTTAAATGTTTTTTTTTATTAACCTAGGACTGGGCACTTGGAGTCCTGCATGCCAAAATTATTGCAGCTATAACATTGATGGGTCCTCAGTGGTGGTTGAAAACTGTGATTGAGCAGGTAAGCAAACTCGTTTTTCAGAAAAAGATTGGGAGTAATCATGATTATGTTTAGTGGATGGGACTCATTTTTCTTTTTTCACCTTTTCTGAGTTTTCTACATTTTCTTTAATGAGCATATATAACTCTTTTTTAAAAAGAAGTCATTTGCTCTTTCATCATCATGAATTTTCATCATCCACTGTTAAGACTTCTCTTATCTAAAGGTTAACCAGGCTTAAAGTACTTAGAACCTTATCCAGAGTAAAGCCAAAAATTAGCACATGTGCTTTTTTTCAGGGCAGGAGTTTTGATGGAGGCTTGTTTAGTTTTCTAAGCCTGTAGTAGGGAAAAAGCTATTGTGCAAGGCAACAAATAAAAGGCAGAAAAAATAATAGATTACAAAATTAGAGCTGTTTGGGAATATTCTAGCTATGTAGCCCCTAAGAGTATTATGGAACCATCAGATAATAAGGTGAATGTGGTGATAAAACCTTGAAAAAAAGATTGTGCTTCTGTATTCTGATAATAAGACTAGGAAATATGCAATTCATTTTAGGAAGATTTCTATCCAAAATAGCCAGCATAACAGATTTGATGCTTATTTAAGTTTTAGTTATCTAGAAAATGTTCTTGTGGACAAAACTCTTATCCAGTGCCCAATAAATAAGGTGTTAACAATTCTGTAGCAATAAAGGTGCACCTACTTTTTATATATAGGAAATAAAGGGCAGTCGTTTCCAGCTCAGTCTGCACAAGAAAATGGTAAAAAAAAATTAAAAAAAAAAATCCCTATACCTGGAGATTTGTGGGGGTGGGGAGAGCCAGGGAATTGCTGTGTGTTTGCATGCATAACAAGTGTGGGCTTACTCTGTAAGTGCTCTAAAGTGAGGTGGATTGTGTACTGCATGGCAGCATACCCATTTATGGTAGGAGTGCGGGCCACTCTACTCTGGTGTCTCCAGGTAAGACTCCTTTGCCCTTGCAAAGGAGTATGGAGAATAAGGGTTTAATCACTGCTGGAGGCTATGAAGCACTGTTGATCTTTGTAATATTTTCTCTCTGATGCTTTCTTTTCTCATACATATGTGTAAGTTTAAAATGGTTGAGAAACACTAGGATGCCTTACAACATGAGTGTAAATGCATTTGGGTTAACCAGGTCTCTTTGGGATTAGAAGCTACCTCTGGGGGGTTAATCCAGTTTGTCATTCTTTCTGGCCCTCTCCTGAGGGATGGAGTGTGACTGTGGGCAAAGTGAGGTTGAAGTGCTAGGGAAAAACAGGAACACCACTCTAGCCATTTTGTCCTCTGCATGCCATCTTTGTATCCCATTATTCCCAAGGTTTTCCCTCTTTCATCCATTCTTTCCTCTGCAGTACTATTCACTAGAACTTTCTGGGTAAGATTATGGAAATGCTGTAGAAATTTTTGAATTAAAAAAATATATATTTACTGTAGAATAATTTTATATTACATTTTTACATAAAGTATCTTTGGTTTGTTAAAATTTGATTTATACAAGCTTTTCAGAAACATGTTCTTTATCATGGTTTTTATCTATCTATATCTATATATATATATAAAAGCCTAAGTGACCATTATGACCGGTCAGCCAAACAACCGGTCGCTATGATGTACACTGACCACCAGGGGCCAGAAGCTCAATGCAGGAGCTGCCCCCTGGTGGTCAGGGTGTTCCCAAAGCCAACCTCCCATGGCCCTCCCGGTCGGGCCAGGCTGAGGGACCCCACCCATGCATGAATTCGTGCACCAGGCCTCTAGTATTCAGATAAAATAAATGCAATCTTAAATGGTAACAGATGACTTACAGAGTTACTTTAAGTTAATATTGTTTTAAACTAATATTATTGGGTGCCATCTGGTATTGTACAGATCAAAGCTAGTGTAGTTATGATTCTAGATTAGTGTCTTATTATTTCGTATCTTAGCAGAGTTAATTGCAAAGTATAAGGAGGTAAGTGCATTTCTTTAAAAACTTGTGGGTACCACACTTATGTTTGTGTCCCAGAATTTGCCTTGACTTTGGAAAAATAATCAGTTTGAATCCTTTGGGGCTCGTAGATTCAACTCCCTGCAGCATGGATTCAGTAGAGATTACTCTGTAAATTTGGAGGAATTGTTTTGTCTTCTCGTTCTCATATTTCCACCCATTTTTAGGTTTATGCAAATGGCATCCGAAACATTGATCTTCACTATATCATTCGTAAACTGGCAGCGCCTGTGATTTCTGTGCTCTTGCTGTCCCTGTGTGTACCTTATGTCATTGCATCTGGCGTTGTTCCTCTACTAGGTGAGTAATGCTGGCTGGGTAACTTGAGAGCACCTTTATTTTATTTTATTTTAAATATGTTTTTATTGATTTCAGAGAGGAAGGGAGAGGGGGAGAGAGTAGAAACATCAATGCTGAGAGAGAATCATTGATCGGCTGCCTCCTGCATGCCCCCTACTGGGGATTGAGCCCAAGACCTGCGAATATGGCCCCGACCAGAAATTGGAGCGCTCGACCACTGAGCCACTCAGGCTTGGTGAGAGAGCACCTTTATTGACATTGTTACATTATTGTCACATGGTATCATAGGTTGGCTGGCCCCAAATGCTTTATTTATAAATATAAACCCAGCTAAAACAATGATTTCAAGAAACCATTTTTCTTAATTTGACTACTCAGAGCAAGATTAAGAGGATCATAAAGCCTTTGGTACAGTTTTGTTTTTCGCTAGGCAGGTGAGAAAGTATTGACATTTACACTCTTCCCAAAATAGGCAGGAACAGATTTCCCTCAAGTTGTCTTCTAACTAGAAGTGCTGTGATCACAGACTTATAAAATTAAGGACATGTTGTAATTAATTTTAAAAAAGTTCTTTAGCATAAAAGGAAAACGCAAGAGGAGATGCTAATTTGTGACAATTCATCAACTAGAAATGATCAATTTTATACTGAAGAACCCCACAGGACCTTAAACCCAGCATATGCTCAAAATTATAAGCACAAAGTTTCCCTCTCTAAATCTTTTCTTACGAATTTACTCATACTGACTAGTGTCATCATCCATCAAGTTGCATGAGTCAGAAACCTTGAAGGGCATTCATGTTACCTGAGGCTCTCTGCTCTCCATACTCAAGTGGTCTTCAAGTCCCACTGACCCAGCATCTGAAACCCATTCTCTCCTTTCTGGCACTCTTACCCATGGCTCCTTGAGTTGCACATCATCTCTCACCTTAACAGCAACAGCCTCCTGTCTAGTTTCCCTGCTTTGACAACTAATTCATTGTCTATACTGCGGCCACAGTGACTTTCAAAAGCATGAATCTCATTGTTTCTCTTTAATGAACATCCTTTCTTTGGTCCCTCTGTGGCCTTTAGAACATAATCCAGCTCCTAGGCTTACTTCAAAGGCTCCTCCTGGGTGCTCCAGTTTGACCTCACTTGTTGACTCACTTCATTTTATATGTGACCAGTCCCCTCTTCTTCGTGAAAGGACATATTTCTATTTCACTGCCATTCCATATGCACTTAGAGTTCTCCTTTTTTGGTTTTATAGGTGTTACTGCGGAAATGCAAAACTTGGTCCACCGGCGGATTTATCCATTCTTACTGATGGTCGTGGTATTGATGGGGATCTTGTCATTCCAGGTCCGCCAGTTTAAGCGCCTTTATGAACATATTAAAAATGACAAGTAAGTCTAGACTTCCAGACATTTAGCCACTCATATTAAGATTTCTCACTTGTTAATGTTTGTGCCTAATGTGATGAATCAAAAAGGGAAAATTGCTCAGATTCTGGATGTATTTTGAGGTAGAATTAATAGAATTTGGTAACAGATTGGATGAGGGTATGAAATAGCATTATCAAAGACTGTTGTACTGAGCAACTGGTAATTTGGAGTTGTCATTTATGTAGATCAGTGATTTTCAACTGGTGTGCTGCAGGAATTTTTAAAACATATAATACCTGACTATTTATTCAGGGACACTGACCTCTTTTTTCTTAGATTGTCAAATAAAAAAATGACAACAACCAACACAATAATAACTGGTATGAATGAATAAAAATTAAACCTATTATTCTGTCAAATCGGCAAAAGTTATATATTTTTTTGGTGTGCCACAGAATTTTAGTAATTTATGTGTGCTATGAGATGAAAAAGGTTGAAAATTGCTGATGTACATGAAGAATGAAAAGACTGGGAGAAAATGGTTTGAGGAAGAAGATTTTTTTAATATTGATTTCACAGAGTTTTCAGTTGCTTTGATTTGACAAGATACAAAAGAGTTTGAGAGAAAAAGAAATCTACGTTAAGAATTTGCAGTACCCGCCTAAGCCTTTCTTGCAATCAAGGGCCATTAGGTTACTCTGACCACTGCTGAGAGAGGCTGCAAGGTTACTGCAAATGTGTTGAGCCCTTTGTTTCGAGAAAACTCTGTGACCTTACCTCACTGAGAGATTGAGAACAGCCAAGGTTAGCAGCCATTTGACCTTCCATGTCCTCATGGAGGGCTGAGTCTTGCTCTGCTTCAATGGTGTCTAGCAAAAAAAATGAGTTTATAGCTTTCTGTCCTGGTTTGCCTGGGAGAGTCCCAGTTTACACATGCTGCTTTCGTGTTATCATTAACAGAACCCTTGGTTTGGACAGCAAACTATATGCTCACCTTATTTACTCTGAGGACTCCTAAGAGTATTATTTTTAAAATTTAGAGTGTTCAAGGCTTCTCCAAAGCCTTTATGACAGTAGAAAACACAAGTGCATTTTTAGGTGGTCAGAGTACAACGTCTTTCAAACATGAAAGAAGGGGGAGGAGGTTTCAGTGATGAGAGTCTGCCTTCTCACTTCACTTGTTTTGGCAAGGTCTTACTGGCACTCCTTGATCTGCCATCAATGCTTCCAAATGGTATGGTACTTGTACCCTGCCCCTCTAGCTTGTTACCATTCAGTTTTGTCACTCACAGGCTTCCAGGGGTCAAGCTCGCAGTCATTCCCTCATGTTTAGTGAGGCACATCACTGCTGCTTTTTAGCAACCCCTGCCGATGTCGTGGCATGCAGTGTTCTGGTGGAGGACCTCCAACCTTGTCATTTTAATCACAGTTACTTCTGTCTCTGCCGTCCTGCGCTCTTGGCCTAACCTCCCTGTCAACATGTCATATGAGTTAACAAAACTTCATATTCTGCCCTTGGACCATACCCCCCTACCTTCTGTCACTCGCATACACTCACTTCTCTATCATCTCCCATTTGATATCATTGAAATCATTGTCCTTTGATATCTCCTGTTCTCTAGAACTAGAGCTGTTCAGGTTCTACTAAAAAGGCTAGGGTTAGTCCTTCCTACCCAGCTTTCTGACTATTGTATTTCCAGTCTGTTTCTTCAGATCTGCCCACTAAGCTGCATCATAAAATACGATCCATACAGATAAATCCCCTGCATGAGTTTCCTCAGCCTTACCCTCCTCGGGCCTCTGAGTGTATGAGTTCACGAGAAGCCCTAACCTACGGACTGGGGCATGTGCCCCGTTGTCCACACTGAGGACTCTGACCTGTGCCGCTCAGGTCTTTGCTCTAGGAAGACCTATGGGGAGTTCTTCCGCCCCTTGCTATAAGGTGCTTGCCTTTGTGCCTTTGGCAGGTGTTCATTCTAGACTTCCCTTCTACCTACCTAACCATGAAAGTAGGAGTGAAGTGATCTGATTTTGCATTTTTAGAAATGAATCACTGACTGCTTTTTGGAAGTATGTTTCAATATGTAAGATCATATAAGAGAGTAACTACCCTGTTTTTACATCCTAGGTACCTTGTGGGCCAACGCCTTGTGAACTATGAACGGAAATCTGGCAAACAAGGCACATCTTCGCCACCTCCACAGTCGTCCCAAGAATAAAGTGGTTGTCTCAACTACCTTGACCTTCCCCTTGCCTTTACGTGTCCTTTTCTGTGGACTTCTCTTTGGAGATTTTCTCCAGTGATCTCTCAGCATTTTTTTTTAAGTTAAATGTATTTGACTTGTGTTCTCAGCATTTGGAGAGAGCAGCAGGTTAAGTTGCTGCCTTCCTGCATCTTCTGACATCACTGCTGTCTGAGATCTGTACATGTGTAAATAGAAGTTCCTGGATACCCTAAAACCTTGGATTAAACAGAATGTGCATTGTACATCTTTAAACAAATGTATATTAATTTATTAAATCTAGTTGTCACTTTATTTTGGACCTGCTGTGATCTTGACAGGAAACATGCCACAGAGCCACAGTGCAGAGGTGAGACTTACTAATGACGTCTCTGGAGCACAATGTCATGGTGTTCCTAGCAGTTTTTATGAAGTGAACTGTACATTCTGTCTGTCATGGCTGTTGAGACCTTACCAAGAACGTAAAAGGAAACAGAAATCAGCAGTGGAGTATCTGTGGTAAGAAAATATGAACTTTGTGCTTCACTGTCAATCGTTTTTGGAAGTTATTTTGTATAACACCAAAGCTGTTGTACATTTTCTACTGCCTGATTTTTTTTTCATGTGTCTGTGTTTGTAATATTGTATAGTATCTTGTGCTAGTTGAGGAAATTATTTTTAATTTTGATAATTTAATATTCCTAGTGATTAGCATTGGGAGTTGGGTTTTTGTGCTTGTTAGGGGCATGCCTATACTTAGAGGGGGGAAAAGTCCAAAAGAAGATTTTCATTAGTCTCCTCATCCTCCTTTTCCCACACAGCTATCTTTTTTTCTGTTTTGGCAGCAGTAGCCAAAAGTCATGCAAGATCATAAGTCTTATAGTATATCATCACCAATGACACTGCATCTTACTGGAGTGGGGACAGACTGAGGTGTTCCTTAAATGTAGACATGGTTTGTGGTCTGAGATTGACAGCATTAGGAAAGACTGGTTAGAACATAGTCCTGCTGGTTAGTACATCATTGGGTGAGGATTAGGGAGTACATTTCTCCTAGTTTTCCATGAGTAAAAATCCCAAGGTTTCTAAAATTTTTTATTTACAAGATAAAACTACAAACAAAATCAAACTGATATTATTTGTCCAGAAGGAACCTGGCTGAGTTGGCAGTTTAATAGAGGAGTGTAGAATGTATCTCATTGGAAATATGCTGTAAAATCTCAGAGAACTGAACACATAAACTTGGTTTTTTCCCTTATAGCCAAAGCTGCAAGTAGAAGTTTAGAGAAATAAAAGTTAGGCACATGATCCAAGTATTTAATGGTCATGGTTTAATGTAAGGGTAGTGTTTGTTTTTGAATGATAACCTAAAAGTTCTCAGAGAAAATGAACAGCATAGGTCTTCAGAAACCATACAAGAATTTCCATATAGTATTAAAGCCTATAACTCAAATCTGAAGATTTTTTAAATATGAAAGTCAGCCAAACATAAGCTACCAAAATAAAAAGCAAATGTTCTGGTTTTATAATTCAACAATTTTTCCCAAAGTGGTAAGCAATTACTTAACTCTACATTTTAAAACATCAGTATATATATTAAAAAAAGCTTGCCTTAGGATTCAGTGTTATACTTTTTAGCACTTTGCGGTAGGCCTTTCTCTTGTATTTAAAATAAGGTCTTTGTGAGCCCTGCCTTCACTTAGAAATTTAGTTCTACTGTAAAAATGAGCATTTTAAAACATATTGCCACCTGTCATGGTATATGTCCATACAAATAGAGAAACTATCAAATTTGGCATATAACTTGATTATATTAATTTAGGTTTCTTTTGAAATTTTCAGAGACTTTGTAGATATTGACATAAAGTCATTGGAACATATTTACCTGTTTTACCAGGAAGATATAGGCAGATACCACAAAAGATTAAAAATTGTTATTCTACAACATTTTTAAATGAATCTTATCAGATACTTTATAAAAAATATATATATGAATGGCCAAAAAGTTGCCCTCCATTTCACTTGCAATAACTTTATCTTATGTAATGATTTCCCCCAATTTTCCAGTTGTGCTTTGTCCTGTTTTCAAAAAGATGAATACTTTCCTAAGGAAAGCATCTGCTGATTACTATTTACATGGGTAGCATCAAGATTTTATTAGCCAGTTGTCTTAGAAATATTTAAAATAACTAGTTCAGAAATTGCTAGTATTGCTGCCCTTCTTCATGTAGAATTTATTTTTAATAATAGTGTAGTTTTACTTCATTTTACATTGGGTTTAAACAGTCTTTAAGGAAGTTAATTAGGAGAGAAAACTTTTTTGCTTTACTTTTACTATTTATAAATTGAAGACAAATCAACATTTAGGGTTAGTTTTACATGACCGGTTACCAAATGGCCATTAGTATCAGGTGTGCAGTTGTTCATTATTAGCAAATTATGTTTGATTTTTAAACTTAATACTAAGTACTAAAAGTTGAGATGAAAACTGAAGAAAAATGCCAATGTGAAGTTTGTATATGGCAAGCTTTAAAACTAAATGTTTTTAGGTGATGTTTTCCTGTTAGTTTTTTGGAGAAACAGTAGAGATTAGACATCTCAATTCCAGATGTAAACACAAGTAGTTTTTATTTCAACATTTAATATAACTGTTGTTACTATGGATTCTTGACTTGGTGTTTTTTTTTTCCTTTCCCTTATTCAAGTAATAGAAAGTAAATTTTTCTCAAATGATTTGATCTTAGATATGTAATATCTGTATTGGCAAAATGCTATCATTAAAGTCTAATTCTTGAATTTAGGATGAATTTATGACTTTTTAAAACAATGCAAAGCAGCACTGGACATTTCTACATTGTATTGTGTTTACAAACACACACACACACACACACACACACACACACACTGGACATTTCTACATTGTATTACGTTTACACACTCAGAAACACACACACACACTCTATAGAACACTGGCACAAACGTCACAAGTTAGCTTCTTATTCTCATGTTCAGGATTATTTTAAGCTTTCTATTTACTGTGATAAGTTTTTTACATTATAAAAATAAATGATTGTGTTTAAAATACTCCTTTAGAATGGTATCTAATGAGTCACAATTAAAAAAAGACAAAAGTGAAATGCCTTACCACTAAAGTATTATTAAAAGCCTCATTTGTGGAGATTTTCTGACTTGCTGGAGCTGTCTTGGATCTTCTTACTTAATTTGCTCCCTCAAGCAGATGTTTTCCCTTCACCCCATTTACTGCCCTATATCTTTTTTTTTTTTTTTTAAACAGCCAGGATGAGCAAGGGCTACTTTCAGATAAAACCATTAATACAGCATGAAGATAGACAGTATATATCTTTTCATTTCTATCTGTCTTATGAGTGCCTCATTTTTTAGTCATGGAAGTAATATAGTACCTTCAATGAATACGTAGTGACCATAAAGCCTGGGCATGACTACTATAGAAGCTAAGTAGAACACTGTTATTTGGGATACCAATTTTCTATTAAAGCAAACATCTTAGATACCCAGACTAATTTTATGTATATATTCTGAAATGTTCCCCTTTTTTATGTGGTCATTTGTTGTCTTCTGAGTTGAGAGAACAAGATTGAATAAAGTGAACGTTAGTTGTAGTCGAGTTTTTTTTTTCCTTGTTGGTTTTTGCTTTATTGCAAGATTGCTTGAGAGTTACAGAAATGTGTATTATTAGCATAAGTTGATAATCCAGATACATTTAACATAATTATGGAAGTAAAATAATTCAAGTTACATGTGATGATAGCCCCTCTGTTCTAAGTATAAATTTAAAATGATAGTGGCAGAGGACACATCCCTCCTCTCCTCTCTCCCTCACTGTAATAGACTCTCTTCATTGGGAAGAGTAGAGGAAGGCCCTTATCTCTGCCACCCACCTCTTTGCCTCAACTATAAGGTCTGAACATCAGAGCTTCATCAGGTTGCCTATTTTAGGTAGCTACTTGGATAGAGTAAAGCCAATCAAACCCATTTTATGTAATTGACCATAAGTCTCAGAGAAAAAGGAAAGGATTCTATGAGGTTTTTTTCCCTCCTAACTGTGCTGTATGAAGAGATCTTTTTGTTTCTAATTTTTCTTTGTTTCTAGGTTGAGTTTTGTTCCATGATTTTTTTTCCTTTTTATTAAATTTATTGGAGTGACACTGGCTAACAAAATTATACAGGTTTCAGGTGCACAATTCTATATAGCACATAATCTTTACACTATTGTGTGTTCACCCCAAGTCAAGTCTCCGTCCACCACCATTTCCCCCCCCCCCCCCACATGATTTTTTTAATCAAGTGCATTTTTATTTTAAATGCAGTGGTGTGGGTGAAGTGCAGTTTGAACCATAGAGCATGTTTAATCTGTGAAGTTGAATTTTTACAGCAAAGGAAATTGCATGGTGAATTTCAGAAGTGGCCATTAACAACCCCCCCCCCGCCCATCCTGCAGTTTGCAGCCCTTCTTGTTGCAAACATAGAACCAATACCACAAGTGGATTAAGGATCTGAGAAGGTAACCTCCCCTCCTAGCCCCAGCCCCCACATACGCATGTATTTCTGGTGTCTGTTTTGTTTCCTTGCACTGTACTCAATACTATAGTTGAATGAGGCATGGGGTCTGCCTTTAGGAAGTCCAGTTAGAGTGGGAAAGAACAGAAAAATGAGCAAAAGATTCTATTAGAGATATGCATAAGATTGCCACAAGGAACAGATACAGGATCTGCCTGGGCAGAGTCTGTGATGACCTAGGTATGTCCTTAGTTACTATTTGGTATATATAGGCACCCTTCCCCCACACCCTCACAATTCCTGTCAACCTCCTGCAGTTTACTTCCACTCAGTCCCACACTTCACTAAAACCATCCATATGTCAAGAGCCAGTAAACTGGGTGGAGGTCCCTTTTGGCACTTTACATTATCTAATCATCTTCCTGAAATTTTATTTTACACAGATAACAGTGTTGTGTCTTTCTGTTGCTTGCTTGCTCAGTAGCTTCTGTAGGACAAAAAGGCTTATGCCAGGAAGCCCATTCATTTACTTCTTTGTTTTTTTTGCCCAAATGGATGAACCCCTTCTGCTGGCTGCACGAATCCATTGGTCTGATGGAGCAGAATAGAGAGTCAGTCTAGAAATAAACCCATATGTATATGGACAGATTTTTGTCAAAGGTACAAAAGTTGAACAAACAGTGCTGGAATAATTGGACATCCAGATGCAAAATTAAAAATTGATCTATATTTCAACGTATGTAAAAGTTAACTCAAAATAAATTATAGCCCTAAGTATAAAACTCCAAACTATAACTTCTAGAAGAAAGCAAAGGAAAAATGTTTAGCCTGCAGTTAATCACAGATTTGGATACAACCCCAAAAGCACAACCCATAGAAGAAAAATTTGATGACTTGGACTTGATCAAAATGGAAAACACCTGCCCTTTGAAGTATACTGTTTCGAGAACAAAAAGACAAGCCATGGAGTGGCAGAAAAAGTTTGCCAAACATTTCTGATAAGGTACATGCATTCAGCCCTAGCTGGTTTGGCTTAGTGGACAGAGTGTCGGCCTGTGTACTGAATGGTCCCAGGTTCGATTCTGGTCAAGGGCACATGCCTGGGTTTCAGGCTCGATCCCCAGTTGGGGGCGTGCAGGAGGCAGCTGATCAATGATTCTCATCATTGATGTTTCTCCCTCTCCTTCTCTGAAACCAATGAAAATATATTTTTTAAAAAGTTTAAATAAAATACATGCATTCAGATAAGTCCCAAAATGCTGTAGTAAGAAAACCTACTTGTTGATTTAAAAATGGGCAAATATTTAAAAATACTAAAGGTGGTATACAGATGGCAAATAAACACATGCAAACCTGTTCAACATCATTAGTCATTTGGAAAATGCACATTAAAACCACAATGTGATCCCACCACATATCTATTAGAAAGGCTAAAATTAAAAATACTGATGGTATCATGGGTTGGTGAGGATGTAGAGAAACTGGGACTCCCATACTCTGCTGGAGGGAAAGTAAAATGGTGCAACTACTGGGGAAAAGAGTTGGGCATTTGTTAATAGATTAAAATATGTACTCACCACTCCTAATTATTTGCCGAGAAAAAAATGTGTAAATCCATATGAAGAATTGCACATGAGTGTTTATAGTACTTTTATTTGTAATAGCCCGAAGCTGGAAACAATCCATATGCCCATCAGCAAGTGAATGGGTAAATTATCAATACAATGAAAAGCAATTAACTATTGATATTCACAACATGTACAAATCTCAAAATATGCTAAGTGAAAGTAGACCAAAAATGTATGCTTTTGTTTATATAAAAGTCTAGAAAATCCAAAGAAACCTATCTATAGGAAGGCAGATCAGTGGGGGTGGCGAGGAGGGACTTGGATTTTAAAGGGGCATGAAGAAACCGGAGTGATGAATGTGTTCACTGTCTTGAAGGGGTTCTGGTCTGACATGTCTACATATGTCAAAATGTATCAAATTGCACACTTTGAATTTGTGCAATTTATTTCAAAAAGTAATACTATGTTAATATTGGCTCTCTAGTGGACCATTTCATACCTTTTTTCCTCCTAAGTGGAAAAAAGGTATTTTCTCATTTTTGGCTGCTGACTTGTATTCTTATTTCACTGAAAAGATAGAATCAACCAGAACAGAACTTTTCACAAGTCCACACCCTCCCTGACCCATCACACCCTGTGTTTACTGCCCCAGCCTTTTTTTTCTAGAACAGGCCAAACCCCAGGGCCTTTGCACTTCCTGTTTGCCGTACTTTACTGTTCTTTGTCCAGGCTCTCCCCATCCTCATTTCTTTAGTGAGGCTTATCTAAAATTGCAGCTACTGGGGCATTCCTGTCTCTTCTGCTGTATTTTTTCTCTTTCATATTTATTAACCTATCAGGTTTACCTATCTTGTTGATATTTGTATGTTTTCTCTCACGTGGATGTAAGCTCCAGAGATTTTGAAAAATAACTATTTGGGGATTACTACTGTGTTCCACAACAGTCCTTGGGACATAGCATTCAGTATTGTTGAGGAAGTAAATAAGAATCAAAATAATGTATATATGGTTAAAATGAAACCTGAAAGCCCCGTGCCCTTCTCCAGAGGTAACCACGTCAGCGTAGGCCAGACCCCACCATCACAGTGCAGGTGACATGCGCCCCAGCCTGCTCTACAGGGTGCTGCTTCCTTTCACTTTGTTTCACAAACACCTTTTTATGTCAGCCACCCCATTTAAAAATTCTGGCTGTATTGTATTCTATCCTGTGGGTAAGACTACGATTTAACTTTTCTGAACTAGTTACCCCATTTTATTATATGCTGTAGTAAACATTTTTGTCCATATTACCTTACATACTTAGGCTAGAATATCTGTAGGATAAATTTCTCAAAGTAAGATTGCTAAGTCATCAACATTTTAAAGTACCAAATTGCCCCCAAAACGTACTAATTAACACTCCTCTTTCATCAGTGTATGCGATTTCTTGATTTCCCATGTCATCAGCATTCGTGACTATTTTCAGTTTTTGCTAACGCTGTTCATTTGAAAACGTGTGTGTAGGGGAGTCAAGGTTGGGGCTTTGCATCTTCAGGGCGGGAAGGAGGACCTGTCCCTGACCCCACCTGGACATAGCTCATTCTAGTTCTCCATAGTCCTCTCTAGAGGTGAGCCTTCCTGTGTGAAGGGGGGTCTCAGGGCTCTTTCATTCAGCATGGGTGCTAGGGGCCGCTGCAGCCGCCAGCCAGGATACCCCTAAACCAGGGCTTACCCCTCGAATGCTGCCCTGGCCAGCACCCACCAGAATGGACGTTTCTTTTACTCGTCCACCCAAAGCTATTGTGTCAGAAGTGGCTTATTTTCTCTTACACTCAGATTGGCTCAACCACCCTAACTTAAGAAACCAGTTAAACTGAAACTTCCCCCGTCTAAACTCTAAGTAGCTTTTAAACTGGGATCTGAAGAATGAGTTCACTAAGGGGAACCGCTTGGATGCACGAGGAAGTTGATGGAAACGGGGGCACGTGTGCCAGCACTGACTGATCAGCCTTAGCGACTTGAACCGTTTCCAACGTCGGAGGACCCCAGTCACCCCGGCCCTAAGCTTCACGTGGCCAGAGCAAGGAGAAGGGGTGGCGGCCTTTGTGAATTCGCCTTTCACAGTCGGCAGTGGGAAAGCGATCAAAAGCCCCTTTTCTAAGTGAAACGGTCAGCTCTCTCTAAACTAGGTTAGTGGTAAAGGTTAGGAGACCAGGGAGCCAAAGTCAGATTGCGCACGCGCATTGTCCTGGGGACAACCCACCCTC